AGGGACGGCGGTTCTTGTGAGGAGGGACATCGTCCACCAAGAGCTGGAACTACCACCTTACCAGACTATGCATTCTATCGGCATAAGAATGGAGGCGGCGGGCGAGGAACTAAGGATCTACGCATACCGCCCGCCAGGGACTCCATTCTGCTCCTCAGACATCCGGACGGTGATGGAAGGCGAAACACCTACTATAATCGCTAGGGACCTAAACGCCAAACACCCGGCGTGGGGGTCCAGAGTGATCACCCCGCCGGGTCATGCACTATACGAAGACGCTGAGAAAAACAACTATGACGTTTTAGGTCCCGAAGAACCAACCAACGTTCCGACAGAACCGAAGCAACATCCGGATGTATTAGACATCGTGCTCTCTAGGAACGTCAACTACCCAGTAGTGGTAGAGGTGCTATACGACCTGAGTTCACAGCACCTCCCGATTCTGATAACCCTTGGCACTAAGGCGGTGACTACGCCGCCCAGAGCATTTAAGACACGCATCGACTGGAGGCGCTACGCACAACACCTGCAGGCGAGACCTCCAGCCCACCAACTCATAAATACAGCGGACGACGTAGAGGCCGCTGCAACTAGAATTACCAAAAACATCCAAGAGGCCCTCCACGCGGCTTCTACGATCGTCCCGATCACAGAAAGGAGTGACGATCTGCCGCGGGAAATAAGCGTGCAGATAAAGCGCAAAAGAGCACTGAGGAAGCTCTGGGCGCGTACTCGCTGCCCAAGACTAAAATCACAGCTTAACATCTTATCGGAGGAACTGTCGGTTGCAGTCCGGGCCTACAGAGGAGAGGCCTGGGAGCGGCGCATATGGAAGGCGGATGAGCAAAATGCGTTGCTCTATAAACTGAACCGACAGTTAACCAAAACCAGACCTCCCGTTTGCCCGCTGACCAACAGTGCGGGCGAACGCTGCTATGATGCCAAGGGCAGAGCGGATATCCTAGAAGAGCACTTCGAGGAGCAATTTATGCCGAATCCTGCAAGTGCGGAGTTCATGGAGCTTCATGCCATAAATATAGTCGACGTTATACAGGAGTTCCTGTCGTCACCTGCGCCGCCTCTTGCAGGAGAGTGGTTCATTTCCCCCCGCTGAACTGCGGAGGACAGTAACCTGCCTGCAACCGAGGAAGGCGCCCGGACACGACGGGATTACCAACGCTGCACTCCGACAACTGCCCCATAAAGTCCTAGTAGAGATTGGTCGACTCTACAATGGGATACTGCGAACATCCCACTTCCCGGAGGAATGGAAAAAAGGCAAAATTATCGTCTTGCCGAAACCCGGGAAGGACAGGCGTAGAGCTGCCAGCTACAGGCCGATTACGCTATTACCGCACATAGCTAAACTGTTTGAAAGATTGCTGCTGAGACGTCTCCGTCCGTGCATCCAACTTCGGGCGGAGCAGCACGGATTCAGGAGGGGTCACTCTACAGTCACACAGCTGACTAAGAGTGCTGCACCTGCTTGCGGCAGAGTACAACCGCGGCCGCATATCGTTGGGCGTCTTTCTCGATATCGAGAAGGCGTTCGACCGGGTGTGGCACTCAGGATTATATACAAACTACACGAGCAGACCAGTGTCCCCCCTGCTATGTTGGGCGTCTTTCCTGGAAGACAGGAAGTTCTACGTCTGCGTAGAGGACGCCGAGTCCGCAACAAGAACCATCAGTGCCGGCGTCCCACAGGGCAGTTGTCTGTCTCCAGTCCTGTACGCGGCATACACGAACGACATACCAATATTGGCAGGCAGGCTGCAAGAATGGGAGGTCGATGTTGAGCTGGCGCTATATGCGGACGATAGCGCCTATTTCACCTCGTCCAGAAGAGCCCATATAGCCACTGCCAAAATGCAGCGTTTGCTGGACCTGTTGCCACCATGGCTGAACGAGTGGAGGATGGTCGTCAACGTTGGTAAGACGACCGCTCTGCTCACCCATCGTCTCAGAAATCTACCACCACCGCTAACTCTCGACGGCCAGAAGATTGCGTACGAGAAGGCCGTGACGTACCTCGGGTGCCGGATCGACCGGGCGCTGCGCATGACTGCGCAAGTCGACTTCGTCGTCCGCAAAGCCAGAAGTGCGCGGGCGATGCTTCGTCCGGTCCTGGCATCCAAGCTGCCAATAAAGACCAAGCTCCGGATATACAAGATGTATATCCGGACCATTACCACCTACGCTGCTCCGGCCTGGTACGCGCTTCTGAGCGACCCTCTGAGGCGGCGACTACAGGCTCAGCAGAACCTGTCATTAAGGACGATTGTCGGAGCAGGTCGTTACGTCCGGAATGACGTCATAGCGGCCGATCTGAAAGTCGAGACTATCACCGACTTCGTGGCCCGGCTAGCGCGCGGCATGTTTGACCGTGCCGATAACGGGCCACATGACCATCTCAACGGTTTTGCACCGTTGCACACTCGGCCCCCGGACGGGCGACCTCTTCCAAGAGAACTCCTCTCTATATCGATTAGAGAGTCGAGTAACAACCCACAATGCCGCTGAAAGGCCAACTTAGACCTAATTAGATAACCTCCACAGAAAACCTCCTTTTAAAAAAAAATTCTTATCCGGCTACGTTACAAACCGTAGCACTATCTATGCCATGAATAGGCCAAAATGACTGCCCCATAGTTATGGGGTATGAGGATATCCGGGTAATGGGGTTTACCCCGAGGCCCGATACTGCATGTACCTAGGTACATGTAGACGACAATCAACGTTCGCAATTTGTTCCTCAAAGGCGCCCAGGACCGGCACACTGTAGTGTGCCGTGAGGAATGTCCGGGTAAAGGGGCATACCCCGAGGACCGATACCTGCTGGGAAGAAATCCCATGCAGATCAACAAGCTCAGCTCGCAATTTGTTCGACATCTCCTACTGTAAGGTTCGACATCTCCGACGGTAAAGTTCGATATTTCTACAGAACGATTTAATAACTTCCCCGGTATATCACATTTCTCAAGAATTTCAAGAAAATTGCTCTTTCATTCCCAGTGTTGACCCTAAAAGTTAGGGAAAGTGAAATAAATATACAGTCCACATATTTGATATCTAGACCGGGACCAAGCGTGGACCCGTAATCTCAGGCATCAACCACCTTTTAAGATTAGGCGTGTGTGTTTCTGAAGTAGGCATTATCGAAGGGTGCGCCCACTGCGTTGTTTTGAACCCAACGTAGTGTGGCTTAGATCGACGAGTTAGGAACTGGAAGACTCGCCGGATTGCTACAGTGACAGCCAGCGTTAAGGGTTTTGGCTAGTGGTCCTTCGGAGTGAAGGGTCATCAATTCAGAAACGACCACGATACTCTTTACTATGTAACTTAATCACCATGCCAGATAGGCGGGATGGTGAACGTAGAGCTGGTACCCTGCATTGGTATTCACTTCCTTTTTCGCTTATCACTGCTCCTCGTTGCCGATTTTGTTAATCAAGTAACTAATTAGTGGGGCTCTAGCAACAGATTGATAACAGAATTCCTTACAAGTACGCAGAACGTTGTTGACTTAGACTAGTGATTAGATGGATCTTACTTATGCGAAGGTAACAAGTAATGTGTACCATGTTTATATATATTTATTATTATTCCTAAAAATTTACTGCACACAAGGTAATGATTCTATTATGCAGCTTTTTGAAGTGCAACTTTGTATAAATATTAAAGTGTATGTTTATGCCATGGATAGAGGTGAAGTCCTAGACTCCACAGGAATTCACGTCTCATTAAATGGACGAGCTAAGTATTCTAGTGCTTATTTATGATCCAACTTCCACCTAACTTAGAAAAGGCTAATTTCCTCTTTTCTTGAAGACCTCACTGTATTCAATTTAAAAATTGACGCTGGAAAATCTTTCTGTGTCGCATTATAAACAATAAAGCAAAATGCTTCGTCCGATTGCATGTCACATCCACAACAAAAGGATGAAAGCCGGCTATGCGTCTTGTTGTCCGAAGATGAAATGGGGTCAGGGAAATTAAATTATGTAACATCTGATACATTATTTTGTAGTTGTTTTAAGAGATTTGATTATAAAAGTAATTTAATATATTCCACAACTTATGACAAAATAGAATAGTTCGATAGCGAAGTGGCTCTGTGTTTGGCTTCAGTGCTACGGGTTACCGATTCGATTTGTTTGTGTGTAACTTACGTGTTAAAGGTCTCCCCGACACACTTATCCTACAGTAAAAAATTAAAAAGCTAGTAATTAATGGTGGTTAATATAGCGCATAGCGCCATATTATAGCGCGCTATCTCTCCATAACACATAGCGTGTGCTATGTAAGTAGTCGCCATGGCGCTATTGCGTTATGGCGCTATTATGTATTAATATCTAGCGGCAACTAGTTCTAGCAGCAGCGCTGTTGGGAGAGGACCTGTGATGCAAATTTGATCTAGTAGCACGCTATTTATCGCGCGCGACCTAATTTAGTGTTAGGCGTTGTTTAGTTAGTGTATACTGTATATTTATAAGTGATCGAAGGACACTCACAGTTGTTTGCTATAAAAGAAGCCTAAATATTTTTTTAATGTAAATAAAATACAGATACAAAAGTGTATATAATAGTGTATGTAAATAGTTGATTTTTATAAATAAAATCAATAAACTTTTAAATACACCTTTATTTGATTTGTAATTTATATTAAGTTTAAAATAACTTTTACATCAATTATAATAAAAAATAATTAATTTTATTTTGTTTTAAAAAGTACATGGCTTAAAAGAAAGTCGTAAGCCTGAAAAGTATAAAAAGCGTTCATTGGTTTTTCTTTACCGTTTTATTTTATTATAGTCTAAAATGCGACTGTTTACGAAATAATGTTCTTATCTCGTGCTCGTGCTATACGCGGTCTATCCAATGAACGACATGTAATGTTACGTGCTACGAGATATAGTGTGCTGCAAAACTTAACGCGCTTGCCGGCCTCCTACACGCTTTCTTATAAATAGCGCGCTATAACATAACGTATTTACCTGCTAACAGTGAATGGGTGGGTGTGTGTGGTGGGGGAAACGGGCGCGGCGGCACTCTCTGCGCCCGCGATCTCCCGCCGACCACGTACGGGCGGAACGCCCTTCTAAAGGCAAAAACATAAAATAGAAGAAATACGAGTCTGACTGTTTAACCTGAGTCAACATTCATTTATAAACATGTCGCACTAGTAAAACTTTATGAACAGATGACTTTTTGAAGATTGTGAACCATAATTAAAAGACTGTTAAGAATTTTATGTTAAATTAACGTTGACCAGATCTGTATTGTCAATCATTTTGTGCAAAGGAACGTGAATGAAAGGCTACACTGAATTTTTCTGCATTAATACCATGTACGATTGAAAAAAAGTAACAGGCTTCCACAAAAGTATCCATGTATCGCACCGTGTAGTGGCGGTGTAAGAATATCCACTACCTCATATCGTCCCCTGGGTGTCGTAAGAGCCGACAGAGGGAAACTGAAGAAGGATATGGGCAAAAGAAGTTTCACAATAACTTCATAACCCATCTGCCAACAGTCTATGTATTAAAATCCAACAATAGGGTAGTCTATGGGAGGGCCTATGTTCAGCAGTGGACTATTATAGGTTGTAATGGGTGGAAATGCTGGGTAATCTGTATATACGAGATGATTAGACCGCTATCAATCGGCCACAATTTAGTTGCATTTGCAAAATATAATGGCCAAACACTACTACTACGAAACGTGATATCTTATGTTTTTACTTAGTATTTTCTCTACATTATTGAGGCTGATTCCAGGCAAGTCAGTGCTGAACCGATACTGATATAGTGTATATTGATTTGGAGTTAGTACAGCGCTATCGTCATAGTAATAACAGAATAGTAGGCTTTCTTCTAATAAATGTACCGAACGCTTCTAATATGTGTGCGTGTCTGGTACGTCACACTACGGACTCGTACGCACGAGCCATAGCAGCACGCACATAACGACACTTGCTAACTCGGGAACATCGGGCCGAGTCGGGAACGCCCACCACCGCGGTTCGTAATCACCTTTGTTTGAGACTTTGTTGACTTTTAATAAAATTTTGCTAGCAGTCTTTTTTAGTTTTATTTTCTCTTTTTGTAAAATAAATTAATATATGCGTTTGTTTAAGTAAATTAGCTTTTTATTAATAGGTTATATTACTATATCTATACACAGATACATACCTCATAAGTATATTAATTATCATATCACATCAGATCAAATTAATTTTAAATATTAAATCTGAGCTCAAACCGTATGCTCAGTGTTAAATTACTCGTATTTTAGTTATTTGGCATTTGTTTTAATGTAAAGCTGGAATTTTTTTGACAAAAATTGATTCTTTGAGCGGAAATTAAAGAAATGATTAACAAATATGATGCATAGGTACGTATGTATTATGTTTGTAAATACTACAACTACTTATAAAACTAAATGAGACTTAGCTGTTTAACAAAAAGACAGTGACAACTCTGCAGCAGTAGGTATTTTAGCGTCATGACGCGGGATTATTCTACTATTCTGTTTTTACTATGCTGTCGTGTCCGTGCTGACTCCAATATTCCTGCTTGAAAATTCTGAAGTCAGTGCATTTCCACCGCCACCCGCGCCAGCTACATTGACCTTGTCTAAGCGACCAAGTCAGTACTTGGTCACTTGCTGGTGTAACGTTGTAGGGTGACAACAATTTTTTAATATTCTCAAAGCTGGTTGGTATCCTGTAGGTTCTTCAAATCTCAATTTATTTAACAACAAAGCAGAACCCCCAGCTTATTTTATGTTGTCTGTCAATTTTCTTACCAAAAATCGTTTCTGTTTAGACATTTCTTCTTCTAACTTTTCCATCAACTCTTCCAACAGCAAATAGGGACATTTTCTCAACGAATAATTCAATCGTTATAAATTCTGCGGTTTCCGTGAATTCATTTTTGATTTTAAACGTGTGCATTGCATGTGAAACAGTGAGAGTCAGTTCACGGCACCTCGTGTAAATCAGTCTTTATAGTTTTTACTTTTAGTTAAGTTGATTAGTCACCGGCCTGACCGCACCCGTTTTGTAAGTGTTATTTATAGTTCATTTACTCGTTAGCTTTAGCTTATCTAATCGAGCGTAATAAGTAAAACGATATACGTAAGACATCGAAATAATTTGTATAAAGGTCTATTTATCAAATATTTAAATGTAACAAAGTATTGAAAGTGTAGTGTAAATATATCATCCAGTGGGTGTCGTAATAGGCGACAGAAGGAAATAAACAACGAAATGGGCAGCACCGTCTTTCTGATAACATTTGAAAATAGACAAATAAACTGCGGTTACCAACTTGGTTTCAAGCTAGCAACTATGGCAAATATCCCTCTAAAAAGCAACCTATGGGGAAGTACTGTGTTAAGTAGTGAACTTTTGTATACTTTAACGGTGACGGTAACAAATATTATAAAACCGCGGGATTAAATCACTATGTGGTATATGGTATATGGTAACGGTGTAAGAGAATCACCTCTCGTATGCCAATACCATACTCGTATTCTGCAATATTTATTGTTATATCGGTTATATTGGTTTTAATATTTATTGTGATTATTCAAGAAAAAGTTGAATGGTGCAATAATGATGTCTATTCTTGTAGTCATGCTGCAGCTATATTATGGATAAAGAACGAACGTGTAGCTCTTTTGGGGTAGGACCACGCTCTCACAGAATACCAGTGCAAAATAGCAGGTTAATACCGCTGTGTTTCATATGGTGAATGTAGAGATCCGGAGACCCTTTTTTACTTGAAACGATGCGTTCTGTCTTAGTCCTCAGGGGTGATAACGCATCTGCCTTTTGATTCTTAACGGAGGATAAATATGTAGATGCTCGTTTGACAATCTTATACTCAAATAATAATACCTTTAAGTCATAATAACATCATAAAATTGAGTAGTGTTTGAGTATTTTACCATTATTCTACAAAAGATGGAGCTTACAATTTTAATTTTGCCGTCTGTAACCTAAAATTCAATTTTACTTGGTTTTATTAGGTATTTACTTTAGGTGTAGCAAAAAAAGCAAATGTAAAAACCCAGAGCAGTGACGATCAGAGCGATAAAGGTGCGAAATGTTTGTTACAGGTATTGAAACCTAACCACCAAATGCCTACAACGGAAATAGCCTCTGTTTCTCGGTGTAATAAACATTAAATAACTTCTAAATTGACTGACCTGTTGTGCACGAGAGCAGTGTGGCCGCGGCTACTAGAGAGATGAAAGGTACCACGAGTTCGCTGATAGGGACAGCCAGCAAATAGGCAAGATTTTTCATGTCCGACCTGGAATTTAAAAAAATTTGTAGCGAACAGAAAATTTTGATCTTTTTTTTTCTCTGGTAGCATTTCTTAGCCATCGGTTATATAAAAGCATATTTAGGACTACACAAAGGTTTATTCCTAAACAACACGCTGGTTAGACGAGATGGTGAAAGCAAAGCCAAATACCCTACACCGATAACCTTTTCCTTCTTCGTTAGCCAGTAAAGTCCACTGCTGAAGAATGTTCTTAATGTTGTAGAGAACCGTAATCCCTACGCCTACCATACTTATTGCACATTAGATGTAGCATCTGGTCTAAGTATCTTACGTCTAATGTTAGAAGGCTAGTTACATCACCATCTATTGGAAGTTATCACATCTTGGTATTTCTCATGGGCGCTTCTTAGAACACTTCATTAATTAACAGGTTACAGATCCGAACCAGTGGTAAATAAAAAAATGACTTACAATAAGTGTCATGTAATAATCTATATTGAATAAAAATTATTCTATTCTAGTCTATTCAGGATGCACCACATACGGTTGAAGAACGCATTTGAAAAAGTTATTCCCTATATTTTTATATAAAGTAAACATAAAACGCAGTATTAATACAAATAATGTAATGGGGAAAGTGGGGGAAAAACGAACGCTGGATAATCCCGAACGCATGTATTCTAGTATATTAAAATAGATGACAGTATTGTTTACACTGCCATCTTAAAAATCACCCCACCACTAGTGCTAGATTAAGTTGCTGCGAGAACAGGACGCACGCGTAATTCAAAGTATAAATATTTAATTTTAAGGTGTGTTTTCTATGTAACTTTTATATAAACAGTATAAATATAACGCTTATAGACTAGAATACTCACTTATCAAAGAAAAACAGTAACAATAACTTCAAAAATGTTAACATAATTGTAAATAATCTTTTTCATTGTCGATTTTTCGATTTTACCGGACAATTGCAAACAAACCATATTTGAATTACATATGTAGTAAATTGGGAAATGTACATATAAAGAATCAACATGGGCAGGCTACAAATGTAATCGCTGCCGTAATTGAAGACTGACTAAAGGTTATCTATGCTAGTTTGTAATTACCCACTCCCTGAAATCTAGGGGTTCTTTTTCGCTGGAATGTTTCTCTTTATTAAAACATTCTAACTTTTCCCTCAGGTGTTCGTGTTAACCCCACTTTCCCCTCAGTAAAAAGTTGTTTAAACTTAAAATTGTTTACAGCTATAATCCAAATATTACCGTAACCATTCAGTTTAAAAGCTCGAAAAAATCTTAAGTACGTTATAAAAATCTTAGAGACTATAATGATTTCTTATATTTACGCGAACAATACACATTGATTAAAACTACTTTTACGGATTTTTATCGCGTTTATTTAACTTTTAATTACTTTTATTTTTAATTCCCGACGTTTCGGGCGCTTTCCAGCACCCATGGTCACGGTGGACTGAGATGACTGACGTCCCGATGTCATTGTTAAACCCGGAGTACCGTCAGCTTTTTTAATTATTGTTTATGGTCCGATCTACGCAAAATGAACTGACTATGTCCTGAGGTCTTGCAGTGGTATGCTTGGGTTTAGAAACGTCGGGAATTAAAAATAAAAGTAATTAAAAGTTAAATAAACGCGATAAAATCCGTAAAAGTAGTTTTAATCAATCTTAGAGACTGTTTTCACTCATGGAGTCATTTGTCGATTTCTGAAGCTCAAAGAATCAACTCCGCAAGATCCTTGAAGAAGCTTGTGTGAAGTCAAGCTGCAGCTGAATTATGGTAGCTGTATGGCTCTACCACGTGTTGACCTCGGACGGATAACGCTTTCAGGAAATAACGACTTAAAACAGCATTACAGCACCGTGCGGCTTCTTATGGTGAATGTCGAGAGCTGGAAACCTTTTTCACAGGTTACAAGACATTTTATCTAAGTCTTCAGGGGTGACAATCTTGATTCTTAATCGACGACAAATTCAGGTGACTATGGGCCACAGCATTCACTCATCATCAGGTGGACTGTACGATTGTTTTCATCTGTTAATTTTTATTGCATGAAAACAAATTTCATTTTATACATGCTACAAGTATATGCGGTAACTCAGGAGTTCCTCCTCTTGACCTTCCCGTGTTCTAAATGTTCTAAGGTTATTGTCGAATTTTCAAAATTGCAATGAAGCGTCAACCCTTTTAACTCGGCTATGTAGCATTCGATATTCTTGTCAGTGGCCTGAAGTCTTTGTCTAAACCAGTATCTCTCTGCTAGGACTGACGGGGGTGGATGTAAATTATTTTTCTTTAGTGCTATTGCCATCGAATATACCAGCTTCGTTGGTATTTTGAGACTTCCCAGGTTGGTTAGAAGTTCATAGGGCTCATCCCTCATGACCGTTATTAGCGTTAGCAATATAAGCTTATTTTTGCAGCAATATAAGCTTATTTATTTTAACATTTACACTGTTCTGGATCGCTCTATCGCTGTATTAGATACAATTATATACATACCCACACAGTTATTTATTATACACTACAGATAACATCATTTAAACTAACTGGCAATATCTATAAAAAAATTTTCAAGTCAAGTCAAGTCTTAAGATTTACACGATAACAACACGAAAACCAAAAATTCATGTTTTTGCACTTCGGGGCTAAGTGAGTTCATATAGAAATATAAAACATGTGATCGCCTTCATAAATACTAACCGTATAATAAGCCGTGGGTAGATGTGTTTAGAAGGCGCGCTGGATGTAGGCTGCGTCGCGTGAGGGCCGCGCGCGCTCCTCTGTCCAGTGTAGATACCCTCGCGACATCTGCAGTACAACTTCAGCCACGCCTGGAATTAAGGTTTTGTGTTACAAAAATGCTGCCAATGCATGCATTACCCTTGCCGCTACTGGTACGGCCTATTAAAGTCCACTGCTGAACATGGGCCTCCCCCATAGATTGTCTCTTATTAGGGCTATATGTGCCATAGTTGCCACGCTTGGCAAGCGGATTGGCCGGAACCGGGAGGAAAATCGGCGACCGGCTATGGATACGAATGAAAGTAGGCTTAAAATAGTCGTTTATTCTAGGAGCTACGCCCCAGACATGTCTAAGCCCACTTATATCCGAGAGCAGTTTTGGGAGGTAGTAAGGATGGTGTTAATGAAAGGTAAGGGAATTTTAATGGAAGGGTTGGGGTGAAGAGGCTTGGTTGTGAAAGGATATTGGGAAAGTTTGGTGATGACAGTGTAAATGAGAATGGTGAAGCCTCCGCGACGTATGTGTGGGAAGTCTATTTTTGTGATGAATACTTTCTTTTGACATAAGAAGATTCACATGTATACATGGGAAAGAGGTGATGATAGAAGCATGATAGATTTCATAATTGTGGATAAAGGAATGAGGAGCGCAGTGGTAGATACAAGGTTTTATCGGGGATCCAACGTAGGGACGGATCATTATTTAATTTTATGCCAAATTAATGGTCTTTTCAGACGTTGGCGGCATCGGACATCTGTGCCTACAACTGCGTTACAGCGTGTTAGAAAAGAGAGATTACAAGATGAAGGTGTGAAAAACACGTACAAATGTAGAGTGAAAGAAAATGTAAGTGGTTTGGATGATTTGTGAATGAATGAATTAGACTTGGAAAATGTGTGGCATAATGTTAAGAAAGGTTTGGTGGATGCAGCTATCGAAGTATGTGGTGCTAGTAAGCGAATGAATGAAAGGAATAATAATACGTTATGGTGGGATGATAAGGTACGTATGGTATTTGAAGCAAAGAAGAGAGCATGGCTAGATTTGCTAGCCACCAATGATGATAATTCTGGCGGTACGAATGATGATATTGAAAGACAAAAGTCAGTCTTTAGATCTCTAAATAAGACAGTAAAAGAAGTAGTTGAAAGGAAAAAGCGATAAAGAACTGATAAGAATGATAGAAGAATATCTTCTGATGATGATGATGATCATTCTGAATGATGAAGTTATGAGTTCAAAGAGATGGAAGGAATATTTTGAAAGCGAGTTTATGAGTGTGGAGACGTGTGAATTAAATGAAATGGAAACTCCGAAAGAAGAGGAAAGAGAATATAGACAGATAGGTAAAGATGGAATAATGAAAGCAATGAAAGCAGGTAAGGCAGCCAGATATGATAGAATTTCACTCGAAATGCTAAAAGCTGAAGAGGAAGCGGTGGCAGGCCTGCTGTACGCCTTGTTTAATTTATGCTGGAAACTAAAGCGGGTACCGGAAGACTTGTGCAAAGCCGTGATAGTCCCAATATATAAAAGAAAAGGGTCGTAGCAGGACCGTAAAAGCTACCGTGGTATCAGCCTTCTTAGCATTGTGGGAAAACCGTACGCTAAGATACTAATTGAAAGAGTTATGTAAGAAACTGATGGAAAAATTTGGGATGTGCAAGCGGGATTTAGAAAGGGAATGGGCTGTACAGATCAAGTATTTTCCATGCGCATGACCGCGGAAGTTTTTGGCCTAAAACCAAAAAGTTTTTTGTGCGTTCATGGGCTTGGAAAAGGTTTATAACAGAGTGGCCTGTGATTTGTTATGGCAAATACTGAACTCATTTGGTTTAAGCGCTGGGTTGATACAGGCATTGAAATCTCTTTATAGGGACTCCAGTCCTTGTGTTAGGATCAACGGGGTTATTCAGACTGGTTTGGCATCCATAGAGGTGTCAGACAGGACTGTGTGGCTTCCCCGTGGCTGTTCAACCTATTTATGGACAGTTGATTGGAAAATTTGGAAGCTGAAGAATGCGGGTTAAGAACGGTGAGGTAACCGTCAAATGCCTTTTGTACGCCGATGATCAAGCAAAATTTGCATCGTCGGCGGCCGAGTTGCAATCGATAGATACATTAATGAACAGGTCGTTAAAAGAAAGGGGAATGAATGTGAATGCAAGTAAGAAGAAAGTTATGGTTTTTGAAAGGGAAGAAAGTAAAACCGCACCCGCACATCACGCTCTCGGCCGCGAGACGCATCGCGATAGGCGCATCGTGAAGTAGCTGGCAGCACTCCACACTTGCACGCTACGCCTACCGAGTATCGACGAAGTACCGCTTCGTCGTAATGCGCAGCGCTACGCAGCGGAGCATCTCGAGGCGTAGCGCGGCGTAGCGCAACACCGTGGGGCATTTTAGAATTATCTCAATAAAATGTGTATCTTTTTGTGTAGTAAATACGAGTATAGTTATATTTCGTATTACTAACGTAAAAAGTGCGCACCGCCTCGCGTCGCGTCACGTCTCGGTGTGAGCTGGCCCTTAATTGTTATAAAAAATCTCAAAACTAAATTTTTATGTCTACTGCACTATGAGCTTGCATTACAATAATATCTACAAACTAATTTATATAAGAATAACCAAACGATAGTTTAATAAAAAAACTATAAGAACATATAAAAATATTAATTAATAGCCTAATCAGAAAAGAGTATCTAGCGTACGTGAGGGTAATATAGTCATCGGGTTAATATGGTCGCTTTTTAATAACTCAAAAACTACAGCCTTCTTTACACAGATGATTTTGTGATACGATAGCTCTTCATCAAACAATCAAATATTAAAGAGTTAAATGGGCGCTCCTTCATCGATGCCACTTTGACAGTTGACATTGTAGTAAATATTTAGCGGGGTTTAGATTTGCAAGAACTTCTGCCAAGTTATCGCGCAAGTACTTGCAGAACCGTTTACACTAGCAGCAATATTGCTATCGCAATTGGCTTTTGCAAGCGGCCTGCAAAATAACTTGTGGAAGTACTTGGAAAAGAGTTTACTAGTAAGTGCAATATTTTTGCATAAAAGTCAGAAGATCCGAATTCAGAGGGTTAAAATCAATCATCATGCCAAGCTGTAGAAAAATACGTACTGCTGCTATAGTAGTCTTATTTAGTAGTATTAAAAAGAAACGTTTATATGTGGTAGAGCCATGCTGCATTAGTAGTATAGTTATAGCACGAATGGGTCAGCTTGACCGGGGAAGGACCACGCTCTCACAGAATACCAGCGTAAAATAGTAGCTTAACGCTGTTGTGTTTCGTATGGTGAGTGTAGGGAACCGGAAACCCTTTTTACTGGAAACGAGGAAATCCATCTTAGTCCTCACGGGTGACAACGCATCTGCATTTTGATTCGTAATCGAAGATAGATGTAGATAGTCTATGGGCCACAGCAACCACTTGCCATCAGGTTGACTGTGTGCTCGTTTGTCACCCTATCATATAAAAAAATTGAAAGTGGGTTAAGAAATGGATATTAAAAAGAGATAATGTTGGTATCCGCAATCATCTATTAAAAGAACTCAGGTGTGAAGAACCTACGCAGTTTAAAAATTTCAGTCTGATGAATTTTTTATAAACATTTCGTATCCCATAATTCTCTGTGTTGTTCATACTTCACTATTAGCCGCACCATCCAATTTTTTTACCTGAAATCTTGCTCATCAACTTTAAACTTTTATTTGCAAGCAAAATAAACCGCAAGTTACTGCCAGAAGTTTCAAAATAGTGTTTACACTTGCGACTTGCTGCAAGTCCTGCAAGTTACAAAACTTGCGGAAGTGAGCTTGACGTGACTGTTTACACGACAGGAAAAGTTTTGTTGCTAATTTACACCTCGCTTTTTAGTCGATTTTAGTATTATGTGCACTACATTCGTTATACAACATGTAACAAAAACCCTGTGGTTCTCGTTTACTGCGTAATTAGAATCAGTATTCAATCGTATAGAATTATATTTTTTCAGAAAACTCGACCATATATTTTTTTATTTAATTAAAAAAATTACATGTAAATTGTATATAGTTTTATTTCCTCTAACTCACACGAGTATCGGTAATGCGGGGTCTTTAATAATCCTCATACTCCTCGGTCAACGCAGAGATAATAAAACCACATACAATTTGCAAATAAATTTTTAATCGAAATTAATTTTTTCAAATGTTTTTTTTTTGAAAAAAAAAAAATATTCTAAACGCTTGAATACCGATTCTGATAACACACTTAACGGGAACCACAGGGTTTTTGTTACATGTTGTATTGTATTTTAGTTTTTTTAGGTAGATTTTTCGAAGTGTTCCAAATAATTTACAGAGCTTGTTTGCTATTTCAATATATTAGTTATAGTATATTTCGATTTTGTGTTTTTGTTTCTGTCCTCTTACTAGTTTTAGTTCTTTATGACCGCAAAGCTTAAGATGACCGTATTACCCTCGCGTAACCTTACATTGTGTTACTATAAATATTTTTTATTTTGTGTTTTTGTTTCTGTCCTCTTACTAGTTTTAGTTCTTTATGACCGCAAAGCTTAAGATGACCGTATTACCCTCGCGTAACCTTACATTGTGTTACTATAAATATTTTTTATTTTGTGTTTTTGTTTCTGTCCTCTTACTAGTTTTAGTTCTTTATGACCGCAAAGCTTTAAGATGACCGTATTACCCTCGCGTAACCTTACATTGTGTTACTATAAATATTTTTTATTTTGTGTTTTTGTTTCTGTCCTCTTACTAGTTTTAGTTCTTTATGACCGCAAAGCTTAAGATGACCGTATTACCCTCGCGTAACCTTACATTGTGTTACTATAATATTTTTTATTTTGTGTTTTTGTTTCTGTCCTCTTACTAGTTTTAGTTCTATAAGACCGCAAAGCTTAAGATGACCGTATTACCCTTGCGTAACCTTACATTGTGTTACTATAAATATTTTTTATTTAGCCTTTTTGCTTGAAACTGGCATGATAACGATGAGTTTTAATTTTATGAGTATTTACCGCGATACGAATGCGGGGTTGTGACCTGATAAGCGGTAGCCCCTGAGTATAAAA